ATTTTTTCTAACTACAAATACTGTTATAGCACTGCTTTTTGGCAAGGGACAAGCATTTTGTTCAAAGATGACATACAAAGCTTATTAAGAGATGCTGAAATTTATGGACAAATCATAGATGCGTATGCCGAGATACTTCATCATGATGAAAAGAAGGACCCTAAAAGACAACAGAATGCATACATCACGTGCTACGCATACGTAAGATCATAGCTATCCCATTACTTCTAGTAAAAATCACAAATTATTCATCTTCCTATACTTTTCACATTCTCTCTAATGCCGAAACTATTAATTTTGCAGAGGTATCTCACAGATAAAATGCACCCAAGAACATTCGATGAATATTTTGTCAAACTCCTTGAATGCATAGGGAAAACTTCAAAGGTGTTCATACCAATAACGGATGGCGGACACCACACCCTGCTTGTCTTCGACACCAATTCATTGCAATGGACGCACTACAACTCATTGAGGGGGGAAACTAAGCAAACCGTTGAATACTACAACAAAAAAGTAATAATTTTGATAAGACAGACTCCTACTATGAACTGTTAATACAAGGCATGAACAAAACAGTTAATCAGTGAAGCTAACAACATACTTGCCTACAATGCAGGCAGACGCAACAAATGTCTTCCTCAATAGTGTCAAGGAATGTGCTCCAACAATTTTAGAAAAAAACAGCTTCCCACTTCTTGAGTTTAAGAAGCCCGTCTACAATGAAGAATTGATCGACGATATTGCAAAACTTCTTCGAAACCTGAAAGTTACACCAGCAATTGCTCAAACAATACAATATCTGATGAAACATGATTCCACCAAATTCAACTTTAAGGAGGACAGGAAATGCGCCCAACAACCTGAAAAGTCGTAAGTTTCACAATAACACTTTTCTTCCCCCAATTCAAATTAAACTATGATTCACTAAATGTTGCATATATATATGTGTGTGTGTGTGTGTGAATTTGCAGAAACGATTGTGGAGTATTTGTCATGTACTACATGCAGAAGTTGTCACAAGGAAAACAAATTGAAGAAAGCTTGAGTACAGAGCATGTGTGGGAAATGAGAAAAGAAGTTTTATTGAAGACAATGGAAAGTGAAAAAAGTTGGTATTTCACAAAAGAGAATGAAGGATGAAAGCATGGATTTCACAAATTTTAGAACTATAAAATAGTAAATGTTCGGCTTCTAACTTCCAAATGTCAAATTGTTAATATGTAGCTTCTAACCAAAATCTTTTGATGCTTCTTAACTTTCAAATTTCAAATAGTTACTGTGTAGTGAGATTCAAATGTAAAAAACTGTTACTCTATAGCTTCTTCTATATTTCAAACTGCGAAACAACAGTGTTCAAAATGCATATTAACAGTGACTTTCAAAAAGCCCAGCCCAAGTTGAGAAAATCAAGGTCAGAAACGAAATAAAGCCCAAAACAAATCAAGTAAGCCATAGAAAAATACAGAAAAAAGGTCCAGTCTAATTTGATTAAAAAAAGCCCAAACAAACCAAAAAAAGAGCCCAGAAAACTCAACAAGCCAATAAAGCCCAATTTCACTAAGCCCATTGAAAAAAAAGAAAATATCTCAACGCAGAGTACACGCACGCACACAAAAAGCGAAAAACCCACTCACCTCTCACTCCGATCTTTGCGACGCGACCCACTCCAAAAGCAGGTGAAAACCTCCATAACCACCAGGCAGGAGAAAACCTCCATAACCACCAGGCAGGAGACAACCTCCATAACCACCAGGCAGGAGACATCCTCCATAACCACCAGGCAGGAGATAACCTCCATAACCACCAATCAACGACAAACTCCATAATGAGAAAGCCGGCGAATCGAAGTTATATTCTACCATAGCCAAAAGTCTTCAAAATCGACACTACAAAAAGCAACTGAGCACAAGGACAACCATGAAAAGAGGAAGAAAATTTCTTCCATAAACATCGACAGAAAGGTACAATCTCAAAAACCCACAATCACTTTCCACTTTCGTCTTAAGATTCTGCTAACTAATGCAAGAGTACCACGTTTAATACAGGTAACCAACGAAAAGGTCCAACAATGACAGAAACAAACACTCAAGATTCTTCACAAATGGCTGACAAAGCATCACTATCAGACTCCCAGGTATTACAAAATCTCTTAACGTCAAAGTCCAATAGCAATGTTTTGAAAAGACGCATGTTTCGACTGCAAATGTATACGTTTCACAACTGTTCATACCATGTCATAGAACTTGAACTGTTAATACCATGTCACAACTGTTAATACCATGCATCTTGCTCTTCTAGGGCACTGCGAAGCAGTGCACTTGAAGATCAAAATATATAGCATCCTTTGTTAATCAAAATCTGTGACTGCTATGCATCTTTCTCTTCTAGTGCACTGCAAGACCAAAATATATAGCATGCTATGTATCTTGCTCTTCTAATGCACTGCTTTGCAGTGCACTTGAAGACCAAAATATGTAGT